CTCCGGACAGCGGATTAATTTTCTTCACACACCGGACATCCTAAGAAATTTGCGCACATGGTAAGTAAAAAAAATAATAATAATAGTAATAACATCTTGGGGAGTTTATATTTTTAATTTCTCCCAAATTTCTTCTCTTGTAGATAACTACCTACCACTTCTTTATGTAAATTGTTTGTTTGTCTTCTCGTCCTCACACCTTTTTTATAATTAATTTCTGAATTAACCGTGTATTTTGGTCTTTTTTTATTTCTTCCTCCTGTACAGCACTACAACAACTACCACACCACAAAAAAGTAGTTTGTACAAAGTGAAGGAAATACATATATATATATACTTATTTTTTACGACTAAAATTGTAGTCGGTGGGTATGGAAACTAACTTACTTTCTCATGGTTTCTTATCATAAAAAGGTCGTTTCGAGATTGTGGCTTAGATAGTCTGATAACGATTGTTGCATTTAGCACCTACAATTTACGTCTCTTCTGCGAGATGCTGGTGGGATACATCAATACCATAATACATACACATGCATGTATACACACACGTACACACGAAGAAGCGGAGATCTTGTGTGTGTCTGTACGTGTGTGCGCACATTTCTTGCGTGGTTAGGACGCGTTCTTAGGCTCTGTCATCACGCACTCTCGCTAAACATGGCCGTAACACCTGTTGATTCAACAAGTGTTCGGCCTCTGCATGCTGGTCTGGCTCCTTCCAAGACACGTGGCAGTTCTCACGTGATCGTCGAGGATCAGGAAGAATATAAAAAAGAAGGAGGGAAGACACGATAGGGAATAAAAAAAAGAGGGGGAGAGAGGAGAAAATCTTATGATAGTGGCGGTACGACTTCTCGAGGTACAAGTGTTCGCGCAGACAAAGAAATTTCTGAGGGTGGAGCAGACCTTTTTTTTTCTTACACTCTCACTCCCCTTCTCTCGTTTCTCTTTTCTCTCTGTTACATTCTTATTTCTCCTCTCTCTCTCTCTCTCTCTCTCTCTCTCTCTCTCTCTCTCTCTCTCTCTCTCTCTCTCTCTCTCTCTCTCTCTCTCTCTCTCTCTCTCTCTCTCTCTCTCTCTTCGTATCTTTTCCTAGTCTCTTTCAATTATTTTTCGTACTATCGCATCATATTCGGAAATGGTAGTCTTTAGGCCAAAGCTTGCCGAAGTTGATGGATAAATATGTTAATTTATGCAAACGTATAGAAACGTTTTTTTCATCAGCCTTCCAACATTTTCGCCGTCCGTCATGATTATTTTTTATATAAATATTCCGTCTTTTTTTGGAAGCCTTAACCGCCCAGTGCTTAGGCTATGAGACCAAGCCATTCGGCAGGTGACCAGGACGCTAATGTTTAGCATATTAATCAGCGGTAAAAGTCTGTATTGATTACACTTGCTAATTCGCGACATGCACTGCTGTCCAAACATATGTTGGTCCCCGCCGAAAACTGCATTGACTCGTTGATTTCGTCCTATGTAGATTAATCTCCCCCATTATCATATCTGCAGATAATGTCAGGACGTTTATATTCCTCGGGGGAAACGTATATGTATTGCTGTTTTATCTCCAGGTTATCTTATTCTTGCAAAAGTCCCTCCCGACAATAGGTTTCTGGATAATTACCGTTGCGTAAGGGTGGTAATTAAATCAATACGAGGCCTTGTAAATATTAATGAGTAGCTTCGTCCGACATCCTTTACGGTTTCATTCATGGTGTGACGATAGGCGTACCCCACTCTTCTTGATATTAAGATTAAAGAATCAGGATAATTAATATCTCTACTACAAGCACGTACCGCCTACAAGTTTACTCGAATATGATAATTTTTCCTCGCATGAAACCAAAATCCTCAGATGCTTCTCCCCTTCTTCGGCGAGCGGAGGTTCCCCGTACTGGCAAGCTGGTGTTTTACGAGTGTATGTATCTTACAAAGTCTTTATGGGTCACGCCTCGCTCTTTATGACTCTTATAGGCTAGAGTTGAGAGCAGGGTTATGGCAGGGCCCGGGCGCAGGATTCCGAGCTTTATCTTGGGAGAGTGTTATGACTTACGAAGGCCTTTGTGTCTGTGGGGGAAGGAGAGGGGAGTATTTATTTATTTTTTCTACCCTTGGGTGCGTTAAGCTTCTCTCTCTTTTTCTTAAAGCTTAGAAAATAAATAGCGTGGGGTTCCTGTTGTCCCGGCCCTGCACCCCCTTATATATCATTAGCTCTAGGACCTGTCAGCATTGTTAGGATGGCCGCCCGACGAAAGCAAAATGAAGGGGTCCGGATCCCGTCTCGCCGAGCCCGCGGTTTACACACTAACACATTCACACACACCCTCCGCGAAATTGCAGTGTGTTACGAGTCATGAGACGAGCGTGACATAGTGGATGTAGATGTTTGATGGAGGGCGAGAGGGGGACGTTCAACAGAGCGAGTATTGCGAGGGAAGAAGCCCGCTGTCTTCTGAGACACAAGCTGCTCTTTGTTCCTGTAGGACGGGCGAGGATGGCCGTCCTGTGCTGGCGGCGGCGGCGGCGGCGGCGGGACGGGGCTGGGCTCCTGCTAGGATTCGTTACTATTCACTCCTACGCTGAAGGGTGACGTGTCTCTCGTTGGGGACAGAGAGGGCTTCGGGGAGGACGATTGGTCGAGTCAGGGTGCGTGTTTTGATGAAGAGCTTATTGGAAGAAATGCGTCTGAATGATGATCGTTTCTTTTGAACATCAGGACGATACAATGTGGGCTGCATAGTTCAGGGTACGCGGCGAGGTGTGGGATACCAGCGTCGGGCGTAGAAATGTTTATTTGGCTTCGCAAGTTTCGTGTGGACATGCGACTGCACTTATGAATACATGTCTAAGTAAATCCGCAAGATACAGAAGAACGCGAAGACGAATTTGTTTATTATACTCTTAGCCATTCCTAGCGTCCATTTCACGTGTCTTAGGACCATATAACAAGAGAAGCGATTCGGAGTGTCTCGGTTCCCCAATCTGATACTCCGTGTGGTGGCTGCATGGGTTTCATTAGGCCTAAGAGTGTGTGTTGGGTAGTTAAAGGTCAGACCTGCTGTAACACCTCTGGGTAACAGACCGGGTTTTGTGGAGGGACAACAGCGATTTTAGGTACTCCTCATGCCGGTGTAAAGAACTAGGAAAGTAATGTACTTCTGCTTGTATTTTCTCTCTCTCTCTCTCTCTCTCTCTCTCTCTCTCTCATTCTCTCTCTCTCTCTCTCTCTCTCTCTCTCTCTCTCTCTCTCTCTCTCTCTCTCTCTCTCTCTCTCTCTCTCTCTCTCTCTCTCTCTCTCTTTCTTTCTCAAACACACCCTTACGTTAGACAAAAATCTCGGAACGTGCTTAGTATCCCCCTCAAAGTCGCCCCCTATTTATATCGCTGAAGCACCACCGAAATTTCTTAACACTCGCAGGAATGATAACACCAGCAGAAGGGCTACGTTTCCGGCCCTTGCAGCTACCCCGAGCGCACAGCACAGGAAGGCTCGGTTGATGTGTCTCCGTAGCGCTCTTTTTCTCTTTTTTTTTTCGTTTCCGCTGCTCGTGATGACGTTAAATGTCAGAACCAAAAGAGGGGGTGGGGGGGGTTTCTATGTTTCCCGGGATACGGTATTGTAAGAGGCTTCTTCTTCGCTATTCTATTTTTTTCTCTTATCGTTGGGAGTTATCGGATTGGTGCAGTTGTTCGTATAACTGTGGGTGTCTAGTTTTTGGGGATACCTTTAAAGCGATTTCGTTTTCTTTTAAAGGTGAACCTATGTATGCCTTGATGGATGGCGTTATTATACATATGGCGTACGCGTGTTGTGTGACGAACATGCCTGACCTTTTAAAGTTATCAAAGGCATTCACAAACGTTTTTCCGTAAAGGGCACATTGCGAATAGCATAACTTCACACGCTTGAAAACGTTTTCGTCATTTCTCTCTCGGTTACAAGGCTAGATGCGTTACGGGTATGGGTAATCGTACGTTTATTTCCTTTCACTTCTCTATGCAGATAGATTGAGAGAGAGAAAGAGAGAGAGAGAGAGAGAGAAAGAGAGAGAGAGAGAGAGAGAGAGAGAGAGAGAGAGAGAGAGAGAGAGAGAGAGAGAGAGAGAGAGAGAGAGAGAGAGAGAGAGAGAATATCTGCTTATATACATATATGTAAACAAATTCCTCTACTCCGAGAATATGTACAAAAGAATGTGTTATCCATGACATGTGTAGCTTTATTACAGATATTTTGATACAAATGCACCGCAGTGTTAACATAACAAGAACATGGTTTTGTCGCCTAGTTTAGTAGGTCACCACGGCGTTTGTGCGTGGCTGTTTATCAAAATGTTGTTAAATCAAAACAATATTTGTTTGTTGTCATGTTTGCGTGGTCTGATAGAGAGGGGAGAATATGTGCGCTTTTTTGTGTTGGTGTTGTTTTGAAGTTCCTCTCGGCATGAAAAGAGAAGCTTAACAAAACAAACGGCGGGATTGAAAGGGAGGAGGGAAGCGGTTCGCATAATGTACCCACAATATACATTTTTCCGACATGTGGGGGACAGCTTCCTGCTTATTTCCACACGCGCCTCTCCTTTTGTTGTGGGCGCGGGGGAGGCAGCGGTTCAACAGCGAGCAGATACACTATCTCAAGCAGGTGAGAACTGAGAGACTTGTTATCTCTTGAGAGACGATAAGAACGGCACTCGGATTGCTGGGCGCGTTGCCAAGCCTTCAATTAATCACCGTCGCTAGCAGCAGCTCGAGTTTTAACCGCTGGCAACGCTGGGTTACATGAGCAATTCGCAAGAGGAAAACATTTTCGAAAAAGAACAAGTGTAGAGCTTTCATAAAGTATTTCCTGACGTCACTCTTTGACTCATAGGAAGGGAGAGAGGAACATTTGCATATTTGTGAATCAGCAGCGCGGGTCTCTTTTATGTGGTAATGAGATTTTTGTCCTCCTCCGAGCTGACGATCGTTATCGCCGCGTATGCAGAGTGCGTCTCGAGAACATGCTCAGCGTCGGCGATCTTTCTCCCTCGGTTCTCGTAGCATATTACACGCCCGAGAGCCACACGGCGTGGACACTTCCTCCGCCCGAGCCCTGCCGTGTCGAGTGCGCAGTGATCTCAACGAAGGCGGAATCGAAGTAGCGATCATGCTGGGCGCCCAACACGCTCCCCGGATTCTAGGGGGAGGGAGGACCGGGAGGAGGCTTCACCCCTTTCTCTTTCCTTCCGGACGCCTCGACCCGAGAACCAATCGACCGAGAGAGAGAGAGAGAAAAAAAAAGATAACATCCCGCGGTTAAAAATCAAACCTCATTCCAACAGCGAGGTTTTCACTGTGACGGAATTACCATTACGGGATTTTCCATGGAAATGTGCGCGCGTAAAGACAGCCACGGCAAGGTGTGTGCGTGTGAGGGTGAGCCGCCAGGTAGAGCGACCTCTCCGGTCCGGTCGCTCAGGTAGCAGCGCGCGGGTCGACTCTCGCCGGGGATTTAATTGTGCGTCGGGGCAGCGCCAAGTGCTTTCGCCTTATCGCCTGTTTGCTTGTTGCTTTGGAGTGTTGAGTCGTGTTCGGTGCGAGTCCCGTATCTTCCGACGGGCGAGGGAACGCGATTAAGTGCGTATTAATGTTATCGCTAAAGATACGGCTGGCATTCTCGCGGGGAGTGAGACGTCTGCACGCAACGCCCCTACCTGCTCTCCGCACTGTTACACACCGCTCTTCATTAATTTTCTACCTGTGTCGTTTGTATCAAAGCCTTCGACTGGTTTCTCTCTCGAATCGCCGTCGACCGTGCCTGCGCCGGCCCCGCGACACGTCCACTCAAGCCCTGCACAGCTCACACGCTCGCTAAATTAGCCGATAAATATGTGTACCTTAGATGTGTCAACATCAGGGCGAGCTTGTGGGTGGCCGCTGCCGACCCTTTACTACCCCCCACCCCCACCTACCCCCCTTTTGCGACCCCCCTTCACCCCCAACCCCCATCCATCCGCACCCCCCTCACCCCCACCACCACCGCCTCCACGTCCCGCGTTCCCTTCCCCCCTCCCCCTTCTCCTCCATTCCTCCCCCTCCCCTCCTTCGGACTCGGCGGAGTTCGTTCTTCCTACAATCCAACATGGCTGCGTTCCGGAGGGAGGGGGGGGAAGGAGGGAGGGAGGGAAGAATCTCGGTGTCTTGGCTTGCCGTTCTTTCGATGTCCTTTCTCCCTCCCTCACACCTTGTATAGCCTGTTACATTCACGGGGGGAAGAGGGATACAACAGTTAAGTCCCTCATAACCATTCTTTTTTTCCGCGCACACCTCATTTCCTCCTTATCCACAAACGCGCAAACATCACCTTGTACCAATAAACAATGACAAAGTAACAAAGAAAACTACAGTATCGTCAGAAACCCATCAAACACGAAGCGGAAAGATGGAGAAGCGAAAGTAAATATGTAAATTCGATCAAGAAATTTTGATTTATTTATCGTTCGGCGTGTAGGCCACGGTTCTCACTACCTCGGATTTGCTGTTAATGAACGCCATTTTGACCTGACCTCACTCTCCGAAGTTTTTTCACACCGGTGGTGGTGGGTGGCGCGTTCAGAAACATTGTCCATATATACACACACTAACCTGAGCACGTTGTTTTTTATGTTTATTTAAGTTTACCTTTTTAACGATAGTCTTGGCCTGACTTAGTCTGATGCATGCGGATTAATCGTAGTCTATAGTCTTTAGTTAATAGATACTTCTCTATTGATAAGACTTAGCCTATAGCATTGATGATATTGCCCCTCATATTGAAATAAAAAAATGGTCATGATTTTAAAAACAGCGTAACGTAGGCATAACAAAAATCGATACAGTTGACAAGCTCGACCCTCCCCTACCCTTCCCCCTCCTCGTCCCCCCCCCCTTTGAATTAATTACCCGATCAAAACGTCTTGAAAACCTTTACCAGCCCCCCCCCTCCTCCTCCCCTTATCACCACCTCCCCTCCCTCCCTCGCCCTCGCTTTTAATCTTTATCGATACGCATTTTATTTTGGTTTTCAGTGTGGTCGACGTGCCCTGGTTCTACGAGGACTCCGCCACTCCTAGTTCCCCAGCGTCACTTGTACAAGGTGTGTGTGCGTGCGTGTGTGTGTGTATGCGTGTATGTGTGTCGGGCAGGTGTGTAGCCTCCTCTCCCCAACACGATGGTGTGTGTGTATCTGTGTGTGTGTGTGTGTGTGTGTGTGTGTGTATAGCCTGTAACAGCATTCTTTCGCGTGTACACACATTTTTACAGCCGTCGGATCCCTCCTCCTCCTTTGGTTTTGTTATCGGAGGCGAGCGCGCGAGATCTCTCCCCTTGCAAATTCTTCTTCCTCCTTCCCGAGGCACACACATATCGCATTTGTCAACCCATGTCGTTTTAGACGAAATGGTCGAATTAAGTTAATTGTGGCAATGGTGTGTAGCGCTCCCCGCCCTCCCTACCCCCCCTCCGCCCCCCCACTCCTCCTCCTCCTCCTCCTCCCCCGCCTCTGTATCCTCCTTGTCTTTCGCCAAGTGTCACATCTCTCCGGATCAAGATTATCGGGCATTTGTTTGAGGGTTTGGTGCAAGGGCCGACTGTGTATTGTTTACGCCTCGATCTGATTCGCTCGCGTGTCCCTCGAGGTTTTTTTCGGGCGATCTGACACTTGGGAGATACGAGATATTAGATAATCAGATAGTCTAATTATTATACCCGTGGACTCCAGTACCCTTTCCAAGTCAACCACAGTTAAGGTTGTATTTGCCTATTGTCACCTTTATTACCCGCGGGGTTCTGGGGTCCTTCTTATCCATGGCGAGTGTTTCAACAAGGCGTAATGGGAACAGAAATCCTATAAAACTCCTCTCAACATGAACAGGATACGCTCGCTCGTCGACAAATAAACCATCAAAAGTAGGCGTTTCGGCAACTCTAACCATCACCACCGACTTGCCCCTGCTGGGACGTCCCATTATGGATGGCTCGCTTCCCATTTTGTTTCAGTCGCCCGGGTATCGTGTGGCCAATTACCCTGCTGAGCGGTAACCATCACGATAATTGACGAAAACACGTGGACCCAAGCCAGTGTTAAATGGACCAATCCCCCACAAGTTTACGTCTTGGGACAAGGTTGCCTCGTGGGATCAGGGGACGGTATTGTAGCTATTGTAGTTGGTGTTGTAGTGTTTGTGTGCGGAGGCGAACATGTGAATTCGGGGGTCTTTTTAAAAGGATTTTCTCCTCCCCCGGTTTTTGGTATTTTTTTCATTCTTGGATAAAGTGCTATCCATCGGATTAGAGCAGGAAGAAGAAAACAAAACAAGGTGCCGAGGATACAGGAAGGAAAGGTATGTTACGGCGCCTGGATGGTAACAGTTTCGAAGAGTAAATGATCGGGTTTATATGCAAATTTACCTCGAAATCGCCTCATCGCTCTAACAGGCCCGGCTATATCAACGTCTGTGGAGTTAAGAATACTCGAAAACACCTGATTTTGCGTTGGTATTAAGACAGCGCGTTTATGATATAGCCGGGGTGTTTTTAAATGCCCGTAAATTTAACCTTTCGTTGTTCGTTAACCAGTCGGTGAATTATGGAGACTTTGAGTATGAAGTGCTATAAAAATTACGGAATGAAACATGTGTCACAGCTTTATCCAGCCGAGAGTTATGGACATATTCCCGTATTCATAACACGAGCACCAAGTTTGATCACCCCAAAGATACATTCCAGCGCCCCCACCCCCCCTACCCCCACCCGTCCCAGCTCCTTCGTGCCCCTTCTCCCCCCATCGCCCCCTCCCTTGTCCCCACCCACCTCTCCACGTCTAGCTGTCCTCCCTCCCCCCGTCTCCCCCCCCACCATCGCCCCCTATCCTACAACAGTCCGACTGCCACCATTACGGGCTCTAACAGGTAGTGGCGAAGGTGGCATAACATCTTCATCCCCCAAAGCGAGCCATCTGGTGTGTGTGTACCACGAGGTAGGTTTATGAATATGCAGAGTTTTTGAGAGTGGGGAGGGAGGGGGGAGGAGGAGGCGTAGGGATAAGGAGGTGGTTGTGGGGTGGAGAGGAGGAGGAAGAGCAATTTCTTAAGAATTAGTGCGTTTAGTAGGGGGGGGGAAGGGGTAGGGAGAGTGAGGGCGAAACGGAGGAAGAGAAGGGGGGAGGAGGGGGGGTTAAATGCTCGTTAAGCTAATGGCGTGAGGAATTGTTTGGTTTCTCAGCAAGTTCAGTTTTTTTTTTCGTGCAAATTGTTGTACTCTTTTTTGAGATCTTTTTGTTTTCCAGTTTTTAAAAAGGGGATTACTTTGTTTTCAAGTTGTAATGTTTGAAATATGGACTCTGTTGACGGAGAACCAGCACTCGTCCTAATAAAGTGTTGCCCAGTCATGCTTATGTGCAAATAAGCGTAGGAGTTTGCGTTGTTGAAGGTAAGCCGTTCTTAACATCAAGAGCATTTTAGTTGATCATTAATTTCAAGGGTTTTGGCAACAGTTTATGGCTATCTTTTCTTTAATTAGCATTATTGGGCCTTAAGCATACATTGAGCATACCGTTTTTGAAGTGAGACTAAATTTCGACGGGCGTGGCTTGTGTATTTTTTGAGTTTTAAAGCCGCCCAAAGCGAACTGTGAACCATCTCCGGTGTTCATTGATCGCTCCCCTGCCTCTTTCACGCTTTTGATTACTTCATTTGGTCTCGTTGATGTCTACACTCGGACGGTGTACAAAGGGAAGCCGGTGCGTGATTTGCCGATCCTGCTCCGGTGTCTCTCTGTGCTACAAAATCCCCGGTTATTTTTTTGTGAAATCGGGTAATGTACAAACCCGCGTCCGTCTTTTGAAAGCATGTAGATTTTTTTTTATTAGGCGGGCGACGTGGAGCAATTTTATCACATAACCTCCGTCGAGTATTGTCCGCGGGAAAGGACGCATGGTTTCACCTCTTTATTCACTCAACTTGTGGTTCTCGTGTGAAAGTGAAATTTTCTGCCTCTCCCTCCTCTTCCCTCTCCCTCTCCCTTTTTCTTTCTTCTCTCCCTCCCTCTCCTCTCCCTCTCCCTTTTCTTTCTTCTCCTCTCCCTCCCTCTTTCTACCTCCGTATCCCTTTTTCTTCTTCCTCCTCTCCCTCTATCTCTCTCTCTCTCTCTCTCTCTCTCTCTCTCTCTCTCTCTCTCTCTCTCTCTCTCTCTCTCTCTCTCTCTCTCTCTCTCTCTCTCTCTCTCTCTCTCCCTCTCCCTCCCTCCCCACCTCGCCCTTCCCCTTGCTTCACTTGCTCGTCTTAGGAGAACCCCGCTTGCTTCAGTCATCGCCTCTCTGGTTACAAAGGAGTGACGTAATGCGAAAAAGAGGTACACTGTGTGAAGATCCTATTTCTGCATTTCAAAAGTTCGAAATCGAATTAAAGTGACCACTTCAGCCACTGTAACTATTTTTCCTAGTTTTCCTTTCCTAGTGTCTGCCCTCAGCGGTATCCATCAACTCCGCGAGTGTGGACATTAATACTCTCGGTCGGTAAACCACCTTTTCGGCCGGCGGTCGAGAAACCACGGTCGTAATGAAGGCGGAGCGAGAGAGAGAGATATTTGCGAAAAAAAGTTCTTCCATTAATTAGTGTCTTTCAACGTGTTCGAATGTGTAACATTTCGAAAAAAAATTCTTAGTTTATTGACGTTTTATTGTTTTGTGTTTTTACCGCTATGCGTCACCGTCGTGTTTTTCTTGGAGGGACAAATTGCGGTTTCCTGTAAAGATTCGGCTTTATTAGTCGTTATAGAAAGATTTGATTTTGATAAGATTAGCTTCGCCAAGATGCAGCAGCAGCCAGGCCGCCAAGATCGTTCGTGACGAGCGTAAGGACAAAGGCGCCCGTGCACGCAGTAGCCTGTCGCGTGTGCCTCCCTCCCTCCCGAGCGGCAGGTGCACTTGAAGCTTTCCGCGGCCAGCCATAATTCTCCTGCTCCGCGTTTCACAATTTCCTCGACAGACGTTATGCTTGGCTGCCTGGCGTAATCACGGTGTTGCCATACCGCGGCCGCGTTATTTTTGCGCCGTTTCTCTTCCCTTCTCTCTCTCTCTCCTTGCTTTACTTACGTCTTCGCGGTCTTTTAAATAGCGCGTGTTCGTTTTCTCTCTCCCTCTCTCTTTCTATTCTTCCTTTCTCTCTCTCCCCCTTTTATGACATCCTCGCATTGTTGACGCGGAGGGTTGGAAAGGTATTTTGACAGAGGAGGAAGGCAGGGGGTTCGAAGGATAATGTACAACCCTCTTGACTGCAAGAGCGACAAAGGCTGCCATTGTATCTCTTTGTTTACGAGCGAACCTGTACCGGTAGGGCGGCGGCGGCGGCAAGGCGAGCACTTCCTCTTGCAGGGGAACACGCACAGGTAGGCCTACGGTGGCGTGATCGCTAGGCCTACGATGGGCGTTGGTGTGTGTGTGTTGTGTGTGTGAATGCACTCGGCTTTCTTTTTTTTAAAGGGTGCGCGTTCTCCGTTGGGATCTACAAGGCATTTTAAATACGTGTGGCGAACTGTCAGCGATTTTTTAAATGTCTTGTTTATTAACCTTTTTATTTTAAGTTTATTTTATTATTTATTTATTTATTACTTTTTTTTTTTGAGAATTCAGCCCGAATACAAAGAAGCCTATCTCAGCCTTGACCTCCTGGCGGTAACGGGACGAACTGCACGAAAATGTGACTGAGAGACACGGCGGAACCTCACGCCCCTGCGAGAACGAAGTGGATATTGGGGGCGGGGGAGAAGAGGGGGTTGTACTCTTCCTCTCTCCCTCTCCCTCTCCCTCTCCCTCTCCCTTCACATTTTCTCTCTGTGCCTTTTGTGGTTTAGTAAAGCGAGAGAGAGAAAAGAGAGAGTGAGTGAGGAGAGGAGTGTGATGGTTACGGTGTATGGCCCTGAGAGGAACGAGAAAGTGTGTGTGTACGCGTGTGTAGGGAGTGTGTGGGGGGAGGGGGGAGAAGAGGGGGGAGAGGGTAAGTGGAAGGGGCTATGGGTGGATTGCTTAAGAGGGTATGTTGCAATATTGATATATGCAATTGATTGATGGCCGGTCCCGCTCGCGTGGGAGAGACGCTT